CTGCTGAATACCATTCATTCTACAGACTCCCAGCTGGTGGGTGTCATGCTAGCCTGTTGCTAAGGAAAGCATGAGGTACATCAGTGTTTTATTAAAGGAATAGGAGTGCTTTAGATATGTATATACATAAATATATATATACACACATAAATATATAGAATTTGTGTCTTAAAATGCTTCAGTAGAACCTTGTTACTGCCACAACAGTTTTTAAAGGAAAACAATAAAACGTGCAGAGAACTGAAACTCCTCTGGAATTAATGTTAGTGCATTAAATTCTAAGTTTCTAAGCTGTTACAGTTGCTTTCAAAGCCATGACTGATGCTTTGTGCTCATTTGTCTGTAGATAAAAGATTCTAGAGCCTGGGATGCAAATATCCTCCATAGTAGGTTCTGAATCAAAGGTATTATTTTTTTAATCAGATTACCATTTAACTGATCCATATTTCAAACAAGATTTTTGAGCCAGCTTCCTATTCCTACTCTACAAATATGAGGAATAAAAGGGTAAAAGGACTTTGCTTTGACAAAGGACCTGCTGCTGTGAGGGTTCCTGAGATAAGTAGAAGGCTGGGTGTGGAGCATTGTCAGACTGGCCTGCAGGAAGAGCCCATTTGGGTTGGTGTTGAAGCCTTTTGGTCACCTTAGAGATGCACTTAAAATTTTCCATCAAGAATTAAAAAATAAATGTCACTTTACCAGAAGATTTGTAGAGCTTGTGATAAGTTGATCTTATCCCAAAAGAAGTACTACTTGATTTGTTCTGGCTTTGGTTGGGCAGGAATTGCAATGGGCAAGAAACTTCCTTATGTGACACAAGAACCCAAGGTCACAAGTTAGGAGCCTGAACTGGTGCAAGTTGGCCTCCTGTGCTGCTCTCAGCCCGTTTCCTACCCTGTCACAAGGATCAGTAGCTGTACAATACCGCTGGGTGTCAAAATTACCCTTGCATCTGTGTTTCTGTTGGGTTTTCTGTAGAAGATGCTGAGCCTGATGTAACACAGACAGCTGGTGACTTCACCTGTGTAGGGTTTGCCCATTAAACTGCTGAGTTTTACCAGGAATATACTGTGCAGAAGAGCTGCCATCTGATTCTGCCTCATTGTCATCCTATCAAGACTGTTATTTTTACAGCTCCTGATCCCCTTAATGCAGTTACAGCTTTTCTGGAGGGGCTTACAGGCAGCTGTCAGCACAGGACAGGACATGTATCGTGTCACCCAACTTTATTTCTTAGACTGTGCCACGCGACACAAGAAAATTTGGGTGACTATTAGTGTAGAACACCAGTTTGAATACTTATGAAGAAATATGTGTGTTGCCAATCTTGCTAGGGAACGTTATTTTTTTTAACTGTTATTTACAGGTTCAAAACTCACATGTTTTATGATGCACAGCATGGATTTGACCTTCCAAAGTCACTGGCTCTGAGCAGCGTTGCTGTTCGCATATTGCACACTCGTTACGATCACGTCTCTCCCCTCTGGCTGCAGTGTCAGACTGTGCCAACACTGGAGGTCTTAGATAGCAAAGAATTTACTCAGCGTTCAGAATGCAATGTAAAAGAACCAGAAGAAAAGGAAAAGACAGCCAGAGAAGAGCCCAGCATGCCCGCTGAGGAAGAAAAGTGTTCTGATGGCAGAAAGGTAGGCTAAAAAAAAAGTCATAGAAGGGTGTTCTACAGTGCTTGTGTAACTTGAGGCCCAGTTGCAGCATCCTGTGGCTGGGAGAGACAGGTTCTTAAACTTTTTATATAGAAAAGGCAGCTTGGGGTCGTACTTCATAGATCTTCTTGAGGGAATGGAAGGATGAATGACCAGCCATTGTCACAGAGAAGGTAGAAGGGAAGTTTGGACAGGTGTGGTAGTTGCCGTGCTGTTGAGTTAACCTTTGGTTGGAGGTTTAAGAGTAGGATCAAGCCATGAGGAACATCAGATACTGTTGTAAGGTATTTCCATCAGTCTCTGACATGTCCAGATGAATGGATTCTGCTTCTGAGGAGCTGACAGCCCCATAAAATGGATGCAGGAATCTGGTACGAGGGAAATGTGCAGTGCTGGGCATGGGGTTGAGAGCTCAGTGGGTACAGTTGTGCAGCTGTGCAGCTGTGTGTGCTGAGGCTCTTGCCAGCAGAGGGCTGCAGATAAATGACTTGGGTTCTTAATTCAAAATTTCTGCACAAATAGCTAAACTATCATGTTTTATGCCTTCCTTATACATTTGGAGCAACGAGCTTTGCCTTTTCCTTTTCAGTCCCTGACACTTTTGTGGTCAAACAGTGCCTGAAATCTCATTCTTCTTGGTTTCTTTTTTCTCTTTGTGTGACAAATCTTTTGGCAGTTTTCACCTACATTTTTCAGACTTCAGGCTCCTCATTTCATCCCTTCTCTTTTTCTTTCCCAGGTCATAGGCTTTTTCTCAGTGCAGTTGTGTTGCTTTTCCTGTTCCCTCTGAAGACTCCACTTCTCTCAGCTTTCTGAGACAGCTCTGTACGCTTTCTCCTTGGGCCTCCTGAAGGAGGTTCCACCCTCTTCTTTACTGTGACTGTCTCTGACTAAGGGAAAAAAGTCTCTTGCTTTTTATACAGAGTCCTGTCTCATTTAAAGAAAACAGCAATAGTATAGCTGATATAAATGGTACAGAGGAGGAAACTGAGAAGAAATCAGAAATCTTGGACCTATCACAAGGTATTTGGTTAGCTTTTATGTGCTGCATTGCAGAAGTACTTGTTCTAAGTATTTTATTTCACATATGAAAACATTGTGATATAGATCTGTGTGAATGGAACAAAGTTCATAATTATATCGGTGTTTTCATAACACTTGAGTGTTGTTGACATTCCTGTTAATGATTGTTCAATGCAGGGAGAAAATGGGACAAATAGGAAAACCGATTTTGTCTCCACACTTGATTTGGTTCATGTTTATTACATTTATGTACATTTGTGTATTACTGTGCATATCTTCATGTGTGTTTCTGGGTGAGACACACAGTCTCTATGAATCTGCCAGGCTGCCTTGAGATAGACTTCCTTAGAAAAAACTGATTCAGATGGGTATACTGGTAGGCACTTGGGTATTGCTGGGTGTTAAATGTGTGCTTAAAGTGAGGTACATGCTGATATGCTTTCCTAAAAGAGGGCCTAAATCTGGGAATTAAAACTAACTGTCTCACCTAAGTTATGTTACAAATTTCTTCAGTGTTGTGGTGTCCTTTTGTTGTGGGTTAATGAGGGAGTTTTCTTGTAGTGCTGTGTTAAACAGCTGCAAACTGGCTGGCATAGTTTAGCTGAACTGTACAGCCTTCTCCTTGTTAAAAAAAAAAAAACAAAAAACAACCCACCCCCCACCTCTTTGTGCTGAGTACAGTCCAGGCACCCACTTGTCAGACGAGACTCTAAAGGCCACCCAAACCAGATGGTTTTCAGGAGAATATAAAGAACTTGGGCTTCATTTGGAGGAATTTGCTATTTTATTTCAATAAGGCTTTGAAAAACCTGCCCCAGGATGAGGTGACATGTGCACAGAAGGGCACTCATCATACCCAAATTGCTTCAAGCTTGTTTATCTGCTTAAACAAGGAGAAGGCTCCTGAAATGCTGCTTTGGCTGGCATGCTAATGATTTGCAAACCCTTCAACCACTTTATTTCAAAACAGGGCTGCAAGGACACTCAGTTACCACAAATTCAGTGAGAGCAGGCAGTGAGGTAGATGAGAGGAAAAAACAGTATTGCAACAACAGGGAAAAGAGCAAGAGCTACTCCAGTTCTCTGGATTTAACTTCATTGTGCCAGTGTTTAGATGTTAATTTAACTTGAGAGAATGAACATTTGGTTTAGACGACATAATATTTACTTAAATAATATGTATTTAAATATTTTTGTAGTGTTATTTCAAAAAGCAAGTTGAAGTGTAAGCTTCCACTCTGGCTGGTAGTAAAATGGTTTTCCTGTCATTCCTGCAAAAGGTCATTATGTTGTTGTGTGTGTGAATGCAGTGTAATGCAACTATATCCCCATCTTCACTTGGTTTTTTAAAAGCTTGAAGACAGTTTAGATAGATAATGAATTTTTTGATATTATCTCATTCACGAAAAGCAAATTTCCTAATACTTACAGTAGTTGTTTTTACAGTTTTTCTTGATCCTTGAACACTTTTCCTTGATCCTTGTCATGCATAACTTCATCTCCCTTCTGTAGCAGCTGGTGGAAGGTTTTATGGGGGTTTGTTGGAGTGCTTTTTTTAAGAAAATATTTCTGGGCATTTTTGTCCATGGCAAATAACATTTTATAATTAATCAAAACATCAATTCATACATATATGTATTATATACCTAATTATCTATATGTCTGCATTATCTTTGTTATCTGAAAATTTTTTCACATTAAGTCACTTTTGCTCTTCATAAATATAGTTTCTTTCACCTTCAGCACATGACCTGTATGTGCTTTATATATTTTTGCCTCATTTCTTGTCATACCAATAAAATGTTACTAACTCTGTCCAGAATCTACTCTGTTGTATACTTGTGAAATTCTCCTGTGATTAATGATGTGACTCATTTTGTCAGTAAAACATTATTCCTCTATAAAGCATTTTGAAATGACTACAAAGTCAGAGCAGAGATTAATCTGTTAAAAACCTCACTGCCAAAACAAGACATACTTTTCAATTGCCCAGCTGTCTGTTTTTCCTTGCATTTCAGTTCTTAAAAGATTTGGGGCACACCAGTAGATGGGGCTGAAATGCTGCAGAATGTAAAGCACTTAAAGCACGTGGGCTTCTTGGGCAAAAGTGAATAATAATAGAAGTGGCAAATTTCACTGTCTTAGTTTAAGCACTGAGTTAACTCATGTTGTTTGGTTATTTTTGATCAGTGGTTGCAGAGCCACTGATGCATGAAGAGATGAATGAAAGAGAAGAGGCCATAACTGATGAGAAGGTTGTTGATTTGGAGCAGCTTGTCCCCGTGGGGGGGGTGTACCACATCCACGCCCTGCAGCTGCCGCCACAGGTCAAGCAAATCAAGGACTGGAGCATGGTGGAGGTAAGTGAGGAAAGAGGCTACATCACGAGCATTTCATCCTTGAAGAGCTGTGCCTGAGGTGTGTCACCACCACGTGTGCAGCGTGGATGATTTCTTGAGCAGCCAACTGAAGGTCCAAGGGTTCAAATAATTTTTCAGTTACCCTCAGCCAATTTTTGGAGCCACTGGGGCCTGGAGGGAACACTGCACTTAGAGAAGCATATGCTCAGTCAGTGCTCACCAGCACCCTTGGCACTGTGTGGACAAAGTGGAATTGTAGCTGGTTCTGCCTCTCAGGTGCTCTTGGGTATTGTTTTTGGAGACTGCAGATTTATTGAAAAAGGACTGTACCTGCTGTGTGGGTCTGCCTGAAGGGTGCCACTGACAGCACGTGAAGGTTCAAGGGCCTGCAAGCAGTCACCCTTCTACTGCCTTCAACACTGTAGTTGGAAACATGCAATATCAGCAGACCATTAACAGTAATAAACTCCAAATTGTGTGTTAGGAGCCTCTGCAGGTGATTAGGCTGGCATAAAGAAAAACTTTAAAAAGAAGACTATTGCATTTTCTTCTAAAAAAAATGTAATCTGTCCTTTTCCTGTGTGTCCAAAGTTACTTGATGTTGGGTTGGCAGCATACCCCTATCCCCCAGAAGGGGCTGAAGATGCCACACAGCCACCAGTACAGATAACCCTTGGGCTCTCTGACAACGTGATGTATTTTAAGAATCCTGTGGTAGCCCGATGGAATCCTGCAGGTATGGACTCAGGACACAAACTGATTTTAATTTAGTCTGAATAATAGAATTTATACCAGAGTTTGACTACTTCTAGAAGCCAGCTGTAAAGATAAGGGCCAATTCAGAGCCCAGAAATAATCTGGGGACTTCAGTGTTAATTGATACAGGGGGGTTTTTTTGTTGTTATAGGGTTGTTTTGGGATTTTTTTGGGGGGTTCTGTTGAAGCTTTTTAGCATGAATGGAAAAATATACACACCATTTAGTGGGTAACAGTACAACTGTACACCACAAATTGGGCTGTACTATGATAAAGCCACGCTCAGTCCATTTTGAGCCAAATTAGCTCCTAGCAGCATGCATTAAGTAAAAATATGAAAAGGTTAAAAATGAGATGTGATATTCTAGTTATTAGATAAAAACAACATAACTCTGACTTAACATTTATGAAAGAGAGCAGAACCTATTAAAAAGGCTTGGTAGTTGAAGTAGTTATTGAAAATGAGTTTGTTGACTGCTCTGTAGCATGTAAGAAACATTTGCATTAGTATTAGCCCTTCTGAGACCAAGGCAAAGCTTTCCCCTTAAAATTAGCCCAATCTCGTACCTAATGACAATTAAAATAAAGGAATTTTTTGTCTTACAGGAATCCTTTTTATGTTATTCCTAATATTTAATCTTAACTGCGAATGTTAGTTAACCTTGGATGTCTTTACTAGTTCTTCCCTAGCACCTATCACAAGCAGAAGCTTTACAGACACATCTTTGTATTCTTTCATCCCTTTTGTGAAGGCCAGTACTGGAGAACTGATGGCATCAGCAATGTAACCTATGACAGGCAGGAGAAGAGTGTCACCTTTGAGATGGGCACCTTCTGTACAGTTACACTGCTCCAGGATGCCCACCTCCACCTGCCCTACCAGGCATGGGAGCTGCGGCCCACTGGTGTGGATGAGGCACTACTTGTACTTACCACAGTCTTTGCAACAATTCAGATAGAAATTAAGGTATTGTATTTTTTTTTTTATATAAAACATTGGCAGATTTTAAAAAAAAAAAATATTAATGTCTTTTATGAAGAACTTGGGATGTTTCCACAGGAGCAATTTGAGTATCAGTGATGATGAGGGAGGATCTCTTCCTGCCCAAGCACTGAGGATTATTTAACTAGTGGTTGACTTATTTTCCATGAACTGGTCATAGGAAAGCATCTGCCTGTATTCTGCCATTTCCAGTAGGTGCTGTGATACTGATACCTCCTCCCTGGATTCAAGACTCTTTCACTGGCTACAGACTTAAAAATTGTTCCTCTCTCCTCTCAGCTACACCATGAGAAATAAAAGCATTCCCAACAACCTACTACTGGTACTTGTTCCTTCCAAAGGTTCAGGTTACATGGTACAGCTCATTGCTGCATAAATCAGTTCAGTAACAGACATGTTTAAGAGAGCCTGGATGAGCATAATTGTGGGCCAGTAGACCAGCACCATCATTTCTGAAACCCCCCAGAGAAGTGGCCTTCTTCTGGCTTTGTCAGTGCACAGCCCAGAGGGACAGATGAGGTCCACAGGATCCCACATAGTGAGATACTAACATTTGATGCCTGAAGCAGAAAACTGCTTTCACAACCAGTAAGTTGCTTTCCCTGGTTTGCACAACAGGGTCACCAGTGCATGTTGTCTGCAGTAGTGGTGGGAGAGGAGGAGGTGCTTTCCCACATCACAGGGAAGTGGCTAAGTCCCATTGACCTAAGAGCAGTTCTGAAACAGGCTGGTGTGAATATCTTCCCAGGAGAACATTCTCACAAGTATGTCTCTGTGAGCCAGAAGGTGAGTGCACGAGTGGATGGCCTTCCTCTTGTTTTTCCTACCCCCTTTTCACATAGGTAAAGTTCTTTTTCTATGAAGAATGAATACTTGCTGTGCAGAATCAGGTGTTCTGGCAGCTTAGCCAGTGGATACTGGTTACATCAGGCTTTTGCTAACATTTGTATAACACAGAGAATTATTTTTTTCTCTAACTTGTCCTTTTGCATTGCAGGCTCCCCTAGCAGAAGTTAGGGCCTATCAGCAGATGGCACTGGCTGCATCTGCTTTTGCTTTTGCCTGGAGCAAGTGGAATCTAGAAGCAGGTCAAGAGCAAGTAGTGTTCAAGGTTTGTGGATTTAGACTAAACTTAGAGTAAACCAGCACAGAACTTTGTCACAGTTAGAAATACACTGTTAGAAACAACTTCTGTAGGTAATGCTCAGTCTTCAACCCCTGCCTGTGGTCTTAGAATGTAGATTTGGGGGTGACTGCTTTGCAGCTTCAGTAAAGCTTCAGAGAAGGAACAGTTCATGCCGCTGAGAGATTTCTAAGGGAACCCATCTCAGTAACAAAGGTACATAGCAATGTGCTAGGATGTGTGTTAGGGCAGCTACTGAGGCTTTAGCCAAAGCTGGGATGATAGAGCTGGATGCTGATTTTGATAAAGTAGCCTGCTGGAGGGGTCCTCCAACCAGCAATCTGATTTCAAGCTTCATAATTATCCATGTGGGGTGTCATTTGTTCCCTGCTGTAAAGGAGAGAATGAGCAACTTAAGCAGTGATTTGTTTCCATCCATCAGCTAGAACACATGTGGTTAAAAACCTCACCCAGACAAACAAATACTCCCAGTGGTGGCTGTAGATACAGAACATACCATACTGTTGAAATCTTGACCAGCTCTCTCTCTGAAGTTTAAATGTGTGACATAGACAAACATTTAGCTCAATACTTAATCCCAGGAGCAAGACCTAAAACAAATGGCTCCTGCTGCACTTAGCTCCTCACTCCCCAGGAGGCAGGAGCAGCAGCTGGAGTGGCCAAACCCTGCATGTCACAGAAGCAAACTGGAGGGAAGATTTTGATGTTAATGCAGTACCTGGTACAGAGTCCCTTAGGCACAGGGAGCTAACATTGCTTGAGGAGTTCAAAGCAGCACCTTGAGTTTTGTTTCTGTATGACACTCCTGCAGACACTAGAATTTAGAATTTCATACTAGAGTTTATACTCTGGTAGTGGCACAGGCTCCGTCTTACAGCAATCTTTTTTTTTCCTGCCATAGGTAAGGGAACATCTTAGAGCAGATTCTGTCAACAACAAAGACTGGTCTCTTTACATGTTTAATGGTCAGAGAGCACAAAAGCTCAAGATGACTGAAACCAGTGAAGCTTTTTCAACAGAGCTGGAAGAAGATTCTGAATTTCACTCCACACTGCACCATATGCTTAAGGACTTTGCCAGCCAAGAAGCAATGGATAAAGTGGAAGCAGCTACCTTCCTGTTTGTTGATGTTGTGTATCAGCTGCTCCTGGCCACAAGAGTTTTAACATACTCTTGAATACTGAATGCTTTCCTTCAAAACTTTATTATCAAAAGCTTTCAGTAAAGTTACATTTCAGGTCTTGAATCCTTTTCAATTCAAAGCATTGCAACAGCTTCCATGACTAAAATGCAGCATTTTAATCTTGTTAAAGCAAACGAAGTCCTTTATTCTCTTGTGGCTAGACCACTTCGTCGCACATTTATTGTTAGCTATGTTCAACTGTTTCACTGTAAACCTGAATGGAACTGAGACCCTTTTAGGTACTTGAAAAGATGACCTTTGTCAGAATGGGGAAAAAAAAAATGAAAAATTTTCATATTTTTTTTTTTAAGTCATGCTAAAAAAAAAAAAGACAACAACAACAACAAATAAAAGAAAACAAAAAACCCCACCCCGTTGCCTCCAAAACCACCCACACCCCAAACATGTACCCTTAGATATACTGAGGTTCTCATACTGTTATCCATAGCTTGGAGGTATAACTACAGGAGTCAGAACCTTTGTTATACTGGGGGTGGTCCATAGTGTTGAAGTCCTATATATGGCCACAACAGCTGCTGTAGTAAAGTCCAGGAGTCCCCAGTTCCTACAGGTGCTGCATCTGCTGGTCTTTGAAGAGACAGCCCAGTAAGGAAGCTTGTGATAGCAGCAAGCAGTACCAGGATGGAAACAGAAAGCCAGAAAGTTTTGTTAGCGTTGGAAAAGGAAGTCTTGAAACGGGATATCCACGATGACACTAAATTGTACCTGCACAGGAGAGGAAGTCAGCATGCTTGAGTTGTTCTTCAGAACTTGGAAGCTCTCTTCCCACCCCCCAAACATACAGATCCTTAACTGTCCAGCAGGACAATGTTGTTACTGCATTGGAAGCCAAGTACAGTGACAGGTTATGTCCTGGGTTTAAAATGCAGACTTCAGTAAGCAAGCTCTTGACAAGCTATTTAGGTGATTGACCCAACTCCCAAGCCCACTCGTGCTCCCTGTACCACACACAGTTTCTGAAGAGGATTCACCAAACCTGCCTTGCAGATCATCAAGTCATCTTGCCTGTAGGAAGCACTGAAGGTGCTAACCTTATGTTTTATTGGTTTCTAGGGCTTTGGTGCCTTCCCTGAGGTTAGGGAGAAGTCTCACTCTCATTGGCTATCCAAATCCTAGACCTCTCATGACATTAGGCATCTCCATTCTTTATCAAACAATAGAAAAATAATGCTCTACTTGTTTCTTGCTGTCTTCTCAGTTTTGCATACTGCCATAATTATTTCATCTCCCCCTTGATCAGGAATGCTCCCAGTGGAGATATAGTGTTGTTCATTCATATGGAATAAACAGTTTCTCTGCAGAGACAGCAGACCTCCTTTCCTGTAAGGCAGGGGCTTCCAAGGGACACTGTTTTAGGACAGCAATCCCTTCCTTGACTTGAGATAATTGGAGAAATTAGGAGGAATAGTCAGGAGTTGGTCTTGATAATTACTTGTGTCTCAGCATATGCCAAAGCTGCTGGTAAACTTTGCACAGGCCTCAAATCCTTGATCATCTTCACAAGAGTACATGTTAGCATGACCTAGTAGCCTACCTGTAACAGCTGTCACAAAGTAAATGAAAGATGGGGTCATAGCAGGAGGCTCCTCTTTACTTCACAATTTAGAATGGGTAATGAGTCCCTGACTGGACAAGTCTGGCACCCAAGATCACTCATTCCTGGTTGCTTTGATTAAGAAGTGAGTGTTAATCAAACCAAAGCTACAGCTTTGCTTCCTCTTACCACCTCCATCACCCAAACACTGCTTCACCTCACGATGTGAGAAAACTTACACTGACTCCAGATTCCATTTGGATGAATGTTTCCCTTTTCCAGAAACACTCTCCTTCCTGGATGGTGGCTCTTGGACTTAAGCAGGAGAGTCTGACTGCTCATTTCTGTAAGGAAGCATCAACAGTTCCAAAGCTTTTCCATCAAGCAGTCAGTGTGACACTGCTGACAACAGCTTGACTGTATAGCCTGGGTCAGGTGGTGGGCAGTTAAGGGTTCATTAAAACCAAACCAACCCACCACACACACACACCCCTACCTCAGAGGCTGCTGCTGAACTTACTTTGTTTCGGACTGTTCATCTTCATACTCTGCCCAGGAGTAGGTGCTCATGAAGCGCTGGAGTGAAGGACGCTTCTCATTCTGCTTTGCTCCTAGTCGGCCCCTGTCACATTTCAAACACAACGTGCCTCAGTTTCCCCATCAGATACATAGCAGGAAATAAATTCAGCAGCAGGCTACTCAGTTGAGTAGGCCTTAGACAAATAAGTTTCAAAATCAGTTGCCTAAAATTAGGATTGTGGTGGGTCTTTTTCCTCACACCAAATCCATCAGTGCTGTTTCATGTTCTAGCTCTAATGCAAGACAGTCAAGGTAATTTAAAAAGAAAAAGCTGTGACATGTAGCCACAGAGGCTCATTTACCTACTGAAGCACAAAATTTCCATGATAGATACAGCCTGAATGTTATTATACCTCAAGATGCCCCATAAGCTGCTTAAGACAGGCACATCCTGACCTGAAAATTTAACCACATTCAAAGACAAGCCCAAGTAACTTTACCAACTGCTTGATCTCCTGTGGAATTTATCACTCCATTCATCTCCTTCAGGTTGATGGAGCTGGGCCTAGAGAAGAAGTTTTTACACACTTACTGCACTGGCATTTTCATGCTTCAGCCCAGCCAGTTTTGAGAAAGTAAAGTGCCTCACCACCTGGGAATCCTTACTTACCAGGGGCAACCCAATCCCTGCACCTCCGGCACTCCTAGGCAATGCTGCAAGGCTAACTCTTCGTAGGGATGATGATGGCTATACAAACAAGAGGCATTACTGACTGACTGCATTACTCACTGATCACATGAAATACCATCTGTTTTTATAGAAATTGTATAGGGGGAAAAAAAATAGATGTTGATACTTAGCTTGAAGAGACACACAAAAGAATGAAATCATAAATGCAGCCCACACCATATTCTTTAAAGCAGTATTTTCCACACAAATTGCTTTTCCCCTGTGAAGCATCTGAAGTGAGGCTGGCTATAGAGCTTCCAGAAAAATGCCAAAACTCAACATGCCTAAATTCTCCTAATGGTGCTCGCAGGAATTCCTGCAGTCACTTTGAATTGCTCCTATCTATTTTTTTTCCATCTTTCTGTAATCCTAATGAGAGAACCACACATGAAAGTTATTTCTTAAGCACTGCATAGACCACATCCATTGCAGCTTCTGTGAACACACCATCTTTTAAGCAGGACCACATGCAGTTCCCTTGGATTGGTGGGATTAGATAGAGGTGATTGAAAAATATGTCCTTGTGTTTGGTGACATCAGCCCATACTTGAGACAGAAAAGCACCAAGTAGCAGAACACCAGCCCATGACAAAGCAAAGAAAAAAAAAAAAAAAAACAACACATCACACACACACTTAAAAATACACTTGAAATTTCATGTTAGGCTGTAAAGGCCATTACCTTGAAATTAAAAGAATTTGGTAGCTTTTTATTTGTAGATTCATCTGTGAAGAGATCAAACGTCAGAAAAAGCTCAGTGCATTCCTGTAAGCCTATCTGCAACAAAAGGTCTGATTTTTTTTGAGCAAAGAGTGTATCCAAGTACTCTCAGAAAGCAGAAATGAGGTTTCAGGAAAAAGTTTTCTATTTCATTAGATAAGTGCATAATAGTTACACACTATACATCCTCTACAGTCAATTTTCTGTGGCTATCATTAAGTGTATTCTGTTATCAATGGAGTATCCTGTTAGAGGACAATCTTTTATAGTCAGGGAGGGATAGCCTGTGATTCAGAAAGCTCCTGCAAGGATTTTACTGGTGTGCTAGGCTGTCTCTTCTGATTTTAAAATACATGCTCTATTTCTCAGAAGCATTTAATCCTCCTCTGACAAAGCCACAAGAACACAGTGCTGTCTGGAAACCTGACCACTGTACCATCTGCTTAGAGGAGGAAATTCAGAGCACCTGCACTTCAGGAGTCCACAGTTTGTATTTAGAAAAGAGCAGGAAGCATCTGTAGAGAGCAGTCAAAGCTCAGTGACCCAGAAATAGATACCAGGAGTGCTCCAGTGCAAGTGAGTACCCAAATTTACTGCTCACAAAGAATAAGGTCATCACTGCCATATGCAATGTGCTTTTCTAAAAGCCAGAACACTACTGCATGCTGGCAATGCTTCCCTCTAACCTCTCCAAGTTTCATGGCAGTTTACATACAAGTCTAATTTCAGAAAGCTGTTTCTGATATTGTTAATTGCTATTTCCCCCCCCCCCCCAGGTTTTAGGAAAGGAAATAACAGTCATATAACCCCTCCACCTAATGTATTGTGCTTCAGCTAGGTAAGGGTCTATCTGGCAGGTGCTAGAAAGGGGAAAGAAAGCAGCTCTTCCCAGTTACCTCGATCCCCAAGAGTACTAAAGGATCTCTCATTCTGCAGCAGGACCTGTTTCAGCTCCTCGAGCTCGGCGTGTTCTTTCGCATACATGCGCTTCAGGTTCTCCACGTGTTGAATCATGACTTCCACAGCCTTGCTGACACGGCTCTCCTAACAGAGCAGGGGGGACAGCAGCAGGAAAAGAGGTGGCTCTTTGAGGAACTGCATCACGTTTAGAGTTTAAGACCTTCTTTAACATTTAAACAACATTCTTTAACCACCTACTTTCATTGCGTATCACCGTGATGCAACACCCTCCGTTCTGTCCACCCTTTCCAACTTTCACTGCAACCCATTTCCCAACACAAGCCCAAGTTCCACAGGTCTCATTTCTGCAGTGATTACTCTTATCCTAAAATAAGCCAGTCTTCATTTTCTGAGCCCTTACAACTCCTCCTCACGCCTTTCTCTGATCTACAGTTTCAGCTGCCACCACGCACTTGCTAGTATTGCCAAGCTGTATTTTCATGCTGTTCTTTGGCATTATACACAATTACACATAACATTTGAGCAGGTCTTTATAAAATTCCATACATTTTTCTTATTAGCTACCTTTTTCATAAGGCACAGAATTACCATCAGAGCATCAAGACTTGCTACCACATTGCATTCTTGTGCTCTCTACTGTATACATCTCTCTAGGGCAAAGTTTTTCTGGATTTTTGATTTATTTTCCTTTTAAATCAGGACTATATTTCTGTTGGTTTTGAACAATGCTAGAGCAATGTAGCTGCTCTCACCTGTGCCTGGGATCCCCTATAACACCACAAACAGCGATCAGTGAAAAGAAAGCCAGGACTAAGCTGTACTGCTCAGACGTTACATACACAAGATTCCCAAATCTAATTCTGGAATTAGAAGCTTAGCAAACAGCTACAGCTGTCCTTTTACATCTAGAAGCTTTATACTTTGTACAAAATACATTTACACAGAAGCAATTACCTGATTAATAGCTCCCAACATCTCTGCTCTACTGGCAACTCGGGATGCATACTGGCTGAGGAACTGCAAGCTTTTCTGCAACTTCTTAATGATCTCCTGCGCTTGGTTGTCTTCTTCACACAAAGGAACTAAAGCCTAAGAAGCATATTGGTAAAACCAACAGTGGGAGCTGTTAGTGTGTGCCTGAACAACTCCTCAGAGTCATCAGCTGACTTCACCCTTCTTTCTCTACTGTCACAAGACCAGCATCCTTGATCAGTGTAAGCTGGACACAGACCTTCAGTGGGCAAAGATTTCAGCTTACCTTGCATAAAATCAGCTGCAGACAGGGGTTCTTCCCCAATATCTGGGCAATAGAAAGCTTCCCCACTGCCTGAGCACTCAGATGAAGGCTACCCCTCATAGTACAAAGTCTCTCCTACTCCAAGTGCATCATTTAAGAGCTTAGTTCAGTTTTGCTTATCATGTATTACACTCACACACAGACACCAGTCTTGGCCTATACTAACCTCTAACATCTTTTGAGCATTTGATATCTCCTTTTTCAAATTTTCTTCAGCCAAGTCTCGGGACCTCTCTTCAAGCCTCACTCTCTTGTCCAAGGTAAACAAGTCACATTTAAAACCTAAAGACAACCTCAGAAATTCAGCCTGTTATGGGAGAGGAAAAGAGTTTGGAATAACCCAAGTGATGCAGAAGGTGTTAAAGTAGATTTGGACATAATGTGACATTTGGGTCTACACCCTGCAAACAAAGTTACAGGATGGGTACAGAAGAGAAAGGAAACATGTCCCAGTTCCACAAAGCTCATCTCCCATCTGCAGCGATGAGGGAGATAATCAGCAGCCAGAATAGGTGATATCCCAGCAGCACACAGTGTGCCATCTGTGTCTTTTGACAAAACTGTCTTAAATCAGCACACTCTGCCTGGGAGGAGGTCACATCTATGGTCCTTCAAGCTTGCAAACAAATGTTTCAGTAGTGAAAAATCTTTTGTTCTGTTTTACAGATTTCCACCTTCTCCCATCCCTTCTGAAATTTCCATTGGGCTTGGAAAGACAGATTTCAAAAGCCAATTTATAGAAATACATTCAGTTTAAGCTACTCACCATAATTCTTTTACATAGGACAAGATATTAATCAGGGCTTACCTACAAGATCTGTTGTTAGAGATACTTAAGTAATACAAGCAGTCAAGACTTACCTCCACTTCTTTCTCATTAGGGCAGTCACTGTAGGATAAGAAGCAGCAATCATATAACATACTGCAGCTTTAAATTCATACCTGCAGGCAGCACTGGAAGTCAAAACACTTACGGCTCGTTTTGCTTTGTTTTATCTCCTTTAATGCCACTTGCAGTGGGTGAACTCCCTGAGAAGAGAGAAAAAGTAGTTCTCACACAAAAGTTAAAAAACAGCCTCCCAAAACCTGCTTGTGGAAGTCTTTTAAGCTCCAACAGAAGCCACTGTTAGATATCTCCTGTGTTAAGCTCTTGCCAGTAAAAACTGGTGTCTCTCAGAGTTAGAGCATCAGTGAGACAGCACAGTACTGTCAATTGTACAAAACCCCAGAAGTTAGTTGTTTAGTTGGCTTCAACTGATGTCAAATCAGTACAGGAATGGTTAATTATAGGTTTTGGCTTAAGTCTCCAGCTCATAAGTTCAGGATATTACATGACTTACTCTATCACCAGCTTTTAGTGAACTCCAAAGGCTAGAGGTTTTGTGACTAGAAGAGTGGAGAGGTCAAAGCACAGTTCAGTAGAAACATTGTGCTTATCTCTATCATATCACCCCAAGCTCTACTTAGCATAGAAGATGCTGCTCTACAAATATTTCAGGAGGGTGGGCACAGCAGAATCATTTCAAATATGCCAACTCCTTTGTAACTTCTAAGAATTTTCCCTCCTGTCTAGAGGAAGATTGAGCTAATTAGATCAGTGTTGGTAGAAATCAGAGAAGCAGGTTTTTGCACAGTAATGTTTGCCTTCTTTCCTCTGCTAATCTGTTCTGATCTCTAATTGCAACTACTATTCATTAAAACACTCTAATAATAACTGGTAGGGGGCAGGCAGCTCTCTGCACCTCTTTACACAGCTTCTGACCCAGGTGACCAAGGCACACGCTCTGGTGAATTACATGAGTGTGTTCAGCAAAAACCTCTTACCTTTCCTACTGGGAACCACAGCTGGTGCTTCCTCACTCTGCTCTTTATTATTTTTCTTTTCCTGGTCCACCTCCTAAAGGCATATCAGAGAGCAGTTATAGCAAGGGAACAGCCCCACCACCACGGGAGGGGTCTGTGCCCTCCTGCAGTATTTCCCTCTGTCACTGCTCAGCCAAACCAGTTCCAGGTTTTGCTGGCACTGGGACTCTTACCGGGTCTTGATTTAAAACATTTTGAAATGTGGCTTTGTGTTCTTCTGTCATGGGGCAGAATTCCTTCTTGGTCAGGTCTGCTCCTAGGGAGAAACATTCCCAAAAACAAATGTCATGATGAAAACACAGTAAGCCTCCAACATCCAGCGTACTAGCCATGGACCAAGAGGGCTAAATACAACTGCAGCTAATACCAGGAGTGGGCATTAAGAAGGAGAGGCAGCAGCAAAGAACACTATAAAGACATAAAGGAAGAAGTGTGATTATGGTTGGCTTGGAAAAAAATCCCAATAAGAAGTGTAAAATCTCTACAGGCAAGAACATTACTCCTGGTAGTAGTTAGTCTAGTTGAAGTTGCAAGAGTAATATTCCCTTGGATGAATGAATTTCATTATTTTGATACCAGCATAGGGTTTGTTTTCTGTTTAAAGAAACACTTAAATTTTATCTGGAAATCTGTAAGCACAGGCACATGTTAAAAAAGACATGCACAAACTGACAGAAGTAATGAGTATTTGATATTCTTTAATGTGAAAAAAGACACAAGTGTAGTGAAGAAATAGATGCTACTTCAGCTGCCATTACAGAGGAGCTCAAGTACAACCAAGTCATGAAATCCATACAGCTGTGGTATTTCATATGTCTATAAGCCTCAGTCTGCCACTTGAACTGTCCTTTGTACCTAAAAACTTAACAAGCAGGGTGCAGATAGAGCCAACAAAATAACTCTTT